CACCCTTACAGAGTCCATATCCAGTAGCTGTTGTGTTTGACACGCTTGTGTGTGTTTTGCTGGTAGACCCACAGCTGCTCTGCATTTGTATCCTGCATTTGTTTATTCTCCCCCTCCCTGGGACTGGGTTTTCACCACTGCCATCCTTCTTTTGTTGTTGCTATGGTTACTTTAATGGTTACAGTGTTTGCACATGAGATTAAGCAGGAGAAACTGCAATCTCCTTTTCTGCAGTGTGACCTGGCCCTTTCCAGTGAGCCTGTTGTGGTAAACCTCAGGTGGAACCCCAAGATCCAAGAACTGTCACCATGCAGAGAAGGGCAAAGTTGCATCATGAGAAGGGATAATTGGCAAAAGGCTCTGTTTTAAAATAGTAAATATGATATTTCCATTAACCCTTGACTCAGTGTCCAGTACAATCAATGTGACAAATCCATATGCTGTGTGGTCACCGTAGCCCAACTGGCTGAATTAAACATTTTCAGAGCTCTCTTGTGGTACACAGCAGCCCACTCATCTTCCTTGCTCCCTTCCACACCCCCCCTTTATGTTCCTCTCCTTCATCTCAAGAGACACAAGTAATAAATTCAGAGATGAGTCTGCTACTGGAGTGTACAAGACACATCTCTAAGAGACAGCTGACAAAAAAATGTGACTGAAAGAAATGGCTAGGGAGAAAAAAAGAGTGCACAGAGGCCTCCTAGGAAAACTGGAGTCTTGAAGGGAATAAAGTGGCTTTACTAGATAATTGTTACCTTGTTTGTTTCAGGCTTTGAACCAGAAACCTACTGGGATCGAATGCATCTGCTCCAGGAAGCAATAGCACACAGGTATGTCTGCAGTGGAGTGGGGTGGCCAAACAGTTCCTGTCTCCCTGGATAATGTGGGATGAAGGCCTGTGCTGAACAGTCGCTCCTGAGTCACTTGGGTTCTGTGCTTTCTGCCTCTCTGAAGTCTGCTTACAGGCTCTTAGACTAAAATACAGCCTCTGTGCCTGGAGTGGTTCTGTGGGTGCAGCTGTGTGGTGTTTCAGCCTGTCACTCCCTGGGAACCATACTCTCCTCCCAGGGAGAGCCTTGCCTTTGGAATTGCCCATTATTCTAAGTTAGAAGCAGAAAGACTGTAAACAGAGTCTTCTTGAGAAGGGACAGCTATTTCCTTCTTGTGAATTTAGCAGTCTTGAACTGGATGACACCTGATGATTGACAATAGGCAGGGGACTTGGGGGGGAGCTGTACAGAGGAGGTTGGGCCCAATTTAAGACAGAATTGTTGGAAGCTTTGGATACTATCTAGCCTTATCCGTCTGTGTGATTAAGCTGCCAGTTTCTTTCATGGTGTTGCTGCCAGGGTTTTTTTCATGACAGAGCCTTTTGTTATGGACTTTAGCTTAGAAATCAGCTTTCATTAGTTTAGAAAGCAGAAGAAAAAGTTTCATACAAACAGCAGAGAACTGCCAGGTAAGCTGCTTGAAGTTCTGCATGGAGTGTAGCACATCATGAAAATAATAATGTTGCAGCTTGAAACATGCCCAGGGAAGGTCTGTCTTGACTATTGCTCTTCCCTCCCTCACGTGCAGCTGCCCCATTTTATCAGAGACTGCTTGGAGCCGCTGCTCTTGTTTCCAGCTCGAGTCAAGACAGGGAGCAGTGTGAGTGACAGGCTGTCACACTGTGTCTGGCAGGGGCAGAGAATATTTGGAGAGGCTCAGCTCTCTTAATCCTTTTTCCTTTTGCCTTCAGGCCGTAAGAAAGGAATAGTGGAAGGATTTCCTCTGGTGCCCCTGCCTTGTTCTGAGGAATCCTACCTGGAGTGGCTCTTTTTATCTTTTTATTTTCTTTTCTTTTTTAATTCCCCTTGTCTCTATTTCTTCAGATTTGGATTTGTACAAGATAAATATTCGGCTTCTGCATTCAACTTCCCAGCAGAAAACAAGCCCCAGTATATTCATGTCACAGGTAAGCAATATTTGGGAGGCCCTGTGGCAAGAAGGAGATTATTACAAACAAGAGAACTATTTTACATGTGATTTGTGTTTCATGTCAGTCATGTTGGTGCTGCTCTGTCCCTTAACCAGACGACAAGTAGGTGTGTCAGACAACACAAACCAGAAAACTGGAGGGGGCAGTATGAAAAGCACTAAGTGTTGCTGCTAATAAATGGTTTGAAATCTTGCTTTACAGTTGCTCTGAAACTTTTCTTTCCAGAAGATGAGGAAATTTTAAAAACTAAGGCAAAGCTTATTCCAAGGTGAATGTAAATGAATGTGTACCCAGAACTAGAAGGAGGGAAAGGTGTTGGGACAAGTCAGTGCTCTGTTCTCATGCTTAAGGTCTGATGTAGATGTATCTCTATCCATATAGATAGTGTGGGAGATAGATCACGCATTTTGGGTCCACTTGCTGGGATGTGAAAACAATGACAGGAAGGTTTGGAAAACTATAGGAGAGAAATGGAAATTGATGGGAAGTTTGCAAGATGCATCAGAGCCTATATCTTTGCTTCATTCTGTGCTTGTAAGAGAAAGGCAGGCAAAGTGCACTCCCTCCTGGTGTTGTAACTGCAGGAAGAAGCAGCACCGAGAGCCGAGGGGGAAAAGTGTATCCACTTTCTCTTGCTACAAGGCAATTAAATGAAACTCAGGCCAGGATTGTTTCAAAATTTAAGGGGTCAGCTACTAGTAGTAGGGACTTAGGTCTGCCTCAGACTGAAGTGCTGTCTGTTCCCTGCAGGGACAGTGTTTTTGCAGCTGCCATATTCCAAGAGGAAGTTTTCCAGCGGGCAGCAGCGGCGCCGGCGCAACTCCACCAGCTCCACCAACCAGAACATGTTCTGTGAGGAGCGCATTGGCTACAACTGGGCCTACAACACCATGCTGACCAAAACCTGGCGCTCCAGTGCCACTGGTGACGAGAAGTTCGCAGACCGGCTGCTGAAAGATTTCACAGACTTCTGCTGGAACAAAGACAGCCGGCTTGTTATGTTCTGGACTGATTGTCTGGACAAGATGCATGCTAGTGCTCCGTGAATAGGGTTGTATCTCTTCGGGAGACAGCTAGAAGCTTTACCTTGTGGCAAGGAAGTAGATGTGAAGAGTCTCTCTGTTGGATCCATATTGAGGCTCCAAGAGGACCTGAGAAATATTGCTGTTGATATTCAACAGAATTTGATTAAGTGCTTGGAAAAAAAAGAATTTAAGCTCTTGGCTTGCCAGTATCTGTCACCTGACCTCAGCTTGGTTTCAAGTAGCTACAGTCCTTGGTTAAAACTTCAGTTAGAGCAGAGGTAAAGGAGGGGAGGCTGCAAATGGTTTTCAAGGGCAGTCGGATTCAGCACAGTGTGATGGTATCAGCTTCTCGTCCCTGGAAATGATCAGTGCCCTTGGCATCTAATGTGCCTGGCAGCAGCCTGCCCCTTCCCCTTCCAAGGTGTGAATTGTGTGAATATGTAAGATAAGATGTGAGAGAAATTTTCATACATGTAAATAAGTAAAATGCAGAAAATTAAGTGACCTGATGTTTTGTTGTAACTCCACAGACAGCAGTACAGGATTGGTGATTAAAAGAAAACAATTGCCAAAAGGAAATACTGCTTTCTATGTTCAGCTCCAAGTTCAGTGCTGGCGCTTTGTCTTGCAATGGTGCAGAATTTTCTGTCTCCATGTCGGGATCACAGCAAGAGCAAGAAGCCAATTACTGTGTTACTGTCTTGCAAGGCCAGCGCCGAAGCCTAGGGAGAAATCCAGGGCCACTGAACACAAGTTGCTGCTAAGGCTTGTGGGCAGGTTTCTAGAATGTGTCTGCGTGCAAGAGAAAGCTGTCTGCTCTCAAGTATGTATCCTTTGTCTTTGCAGGGCCTGGGCAGGAGCCGGTTATTTCAGCTCGGGGTTCGGCTGGGTCACAGCCGGCTCCCCGCTGTGCCGTGCCCTGGGGGCTGTCGGCTCCTGCTGCGAGACGCTCGCTCATTGTTACGTTGTCCTCGAGAAACCGGGCTCGGGGAGGACTGGTACCTTCTCCGTGGTGTTCAGATCTGATTCCAGGCAAATCGTAGCCACTTCAGTGTTTTATCCCCTAAGCTGAGTCAGGATGATTCATCTGATTTTAGACAGCACCCACCTATAGAAGGTGGGTTTGAGCTGTGTGTCTCTTCATTCAGTCGCTCTAAGTGTGTCAAATTATCAGGGCTTGTCTGATCCCCATTAGCGACTTAAAAATACTCTTTACTACGGGAGGAACTTGCTGCCATCTATTCTGTCCCATTCTACATCAGTTCTGCGGGCGGGCATTGGCTGCGCTCGGTGGAAGCTGTAGCGAGGTGGGGGTGGAGTGCAGGGGCGGCCCCGCCTGGGCGGCTCCGGGAGCCGCACCTGCCCCCGCAGTGCCCCCGCAGTGCCCTCGGAGCCGGCAGCGCTTGGACACTGAGCGGTCCTACGGTGAGGACAGGGATGGGGAGAGGGAGCGGGGAGGAGCAGGAGCCTCGCCTCGCTGCGGGAGGAGGGGGACGGGGCTGCCGCGTGTTCCTGCTCCTGCACTTCGAGCTCTTTCACAGCTTTTGCCCGGCGTCGCTGGATCCGGCCCAAGGATGGACTGTCCTGGTGGGGAATGGCCCCGGCAAGAGTTTTACATTTTACGGTAACTGCCCGGGCCTGTCACATGCCAGTTTGGAGAAAATTCACAAAATTATTTTCACCTGAATGTCTCTAGACTTAACGTTATTTGTAGTTTTAACCTGTAAGGAGTGGATGTAAACTCTAGAGTTAGTCTCTGAGTTTTGGGGAAAGCTTAATATGTCTTTCTGAGCTAAGTTTTGTCAATTGCAAACCTGGTGTGTCTTTAGCTTTTCAGGGCTGCTTTAGGCCTAGTTTTATTTTAAGCAGCACGGTGAATTTCTTTCCTTTAAAAAAACCCAAAAGCATACCATAGAAGCTAAAAATAGGAGATAAAGAGTTTTATCTAACCACAACTTTGTGCATTGCATAGAAAAAGCTTCCAGCAGGACATGATGATGAAGCAGTTCATGGCCATGTTAAAGAAGAATGAAAATAATCACCCCCCATCCACCAAGCTGTTGAATCTAGCAGAACAGCTTTGCCAGGAGCTCCAGAGCTCATCTCCTAATCTGGAGAAGCTGGTTGGAGCTGTGATGGGATGCAAAAGCAAGACATACTTTCTCACTAACATCCACGTTGTGCGGGCTTGTGTGTCCGTTCATATCCATAAAGGGGAACATGATGCAGCCTGCAAACTCCTGAAGGTAGGGATGTGCTCTTCAGTTCTTCATGGAAACAAAAAGCCATGTTAGAGAAACAGTAGATAGAGCTGTCAGTGCAGAAGTATCTTAACTGCAGCACATGGAGCACTTCCAGCTTGCCCAAGGCAGTGGAAGGTGATAGGTGTGCATTGTGACCTGAAACACAGGACAAAGCCTTTGCTGCAGGCACTTCGAGTTAGTCAGCCAAGGGGAAAAAGCTAACTGGGTGATTATGGGGTTGGTTGTAGCAGGATTTTTGTTCTGCTGTGGTTCTTGGAGTTTTTCACAATCCAAGGGCTCAGGACATAAAAGTGTGGGGAAGCCCAAGATTAGACCTTGGCAGGGTGGGAATACTTGAGGAAGGCTGGATGGTGCCACTCGAAGTGAGGAATTTTAGGCTTCTAGATCTGGTAATGCTGACCTTTTCACCAGGGGAAAAGAAGGAATTAGGCAAGTCCCTGTGTACATGAGAGAAGGTACAGCGAGCCATGTGCTTAGATAATGCTACTAGCTCTGTCCAACTGGTAGGAATCCCTGAGTAAATTTCTGTTGAGGGTTTTCTCCTTTATACAGGGTCTGAGTGACTCTCTGGAAAGGTTTGCTTATGCACAGTTTTGTTTTAGTGTTGCAAGGCAGAAGAGAAGAAAGAGCTGGTGCAACTTTGGCATGAGATTCACTACCAGAGGTTTATGGAGGAACACAAGACACATTTTCTGACACCACTGCAGAAATTCCGCTGCAGGAAGAGGTACTGCATCGTGGGGAATCCAAGATTTTTTTCTCTGTAGTTTTCAGATGCAGGGGCTACAGATGCAGAGGCTGGTTTCACACCTCAAGATGCTGCTTCTTGGAGCTTGGTTTTTCTTGGTATTTTGACCACTTTTGTAATGTGAGGAAATTCCCACGAATGTGAATTATTCCTTTTGGGTCCTTTTTAACCCCATCTTCTCCTGTGTACAGGAATCCTCCACCTACTTCCCTTTGTCCTGAAGGTTTGAAGACTCGAAACTATTCACAAGAAGTACGCCAGCACCTGCACAGGTTTGCTGCAGAGGTGACAGCATATCCAAACAAGAAACAGCGGGTAGGGATATGCTAGGGATACTTCCTATCAAGTCTCTTTGTCACAGAAAAGCAGGACACTGTGATCAGGAGTCAATTTCCGGTTTAATTTCTGAATCCTTGTTTTTTTGTTGAAATGAGCCTTGTTGAAGGCTCATTGGGGCTGGAATTCCTCATATTTGATCTTTCCCTGAAAGTTTATTCAAAAAATCATCAGGTTCATGCTAAGTTATTTCTCTTGCTGTGGATAAAAAGTTGAGGGACAATAAATTCCTCACTGGGTTTTTAACAATTCAAATTTTGTAGTGATTGAGCATAGGTAGCCAAACAGCCATCACTCAGCAGAGCTCTATTACAGTGATAGATAGTTCTGAGTTGACTGAGTAACAGCCTGTGTAAAATTGCACTTTGTTCACCAGAGCATATTTTGTGCTGACTTTTCAAATGCTGGTAATTTGCTGTGATAACACAATAGGCTGTGTTGGTGTATGCATGGATCTACCTTCTTTGGATATGGACAGATTTGTAATGGAAGGGATGTGTGAATTACATTAATAAGCACTGTTGGTCACTACCTTGCCAGGTGAGGGCTTCAGACTTCAGTGTCTGCCTGTGTGAAGCTGTCATTCTGTGGGAGGAGCATGCTTTGGTGAGGGTGTTATCTGGTGAGCAGCATAGGATAGCAGTGGAGAGGAAGCCTTAGCAAACAAATTGTCTGGGAGTACAGGGTGCAATTTGTGTTTTCTTTCAACTGAGTTTATAAAATCTCCTCAATCAGACCTATTGGAGACCTACTGAGTAAATGTCTCTGGCTTTGGAAGGTCTTTTGCTGGACTGCTTTTGGAACTGAAGGGAAATGCCTGATTATTTGGAAGTGATTTTTTTCTTTTCCCCCCTTGATTTCCCCCTGTGCCTGGGTTTGCAGGACAGATTGGCTCAGGACATGAACCTGCAGCCAACTCAGGTCTATAACTGGTTTGCAAATTATCGACGTCGAAAATCCCGCCTCCTTCATGTGAAAGTGTCCAACAATTCATGTCCTGAGAAGGCTTCAGCTCACAAAGAGCCACAGGATAAAGGATCCAACACTCCACAAACTGCAGGTTTGTCTCTTCTTAATGGGTTCAGGATGTGATCCAGAGAATTGAATATCAATTTTAAATTCCCTCAGGAAGTGGGGAAGGATATTGCTTCTCCAGAACAGCATTATGTGCTGATGGGTGGATTGAAGTGGATGCTGGAGAACTCTGCTTCAGTGGAGTGTCTCACTGTTGGGCTCCATGCTGTTGCTTCAGAGGAGCAGACACTGCTACAGCCTGTGCAACAACAGGTGAAAGGAGATGCCTGGCTTTAAAGAGGCACCAAATGAAATAGATGGGAAGCAGCAGGTTTTAGCTCTCAGATTCTGGAATCAGGGCAGTGTACTCCAGAAAAACCCAGTATTTCCATGTCCTTCAACAGACACTTAACCAAACTTCAGTCACAAGGAACATAAGGGTCTTGCTGCATTTGGCAGATTGGGCTTGTTTTGTTGCCTTTTGGAGTAATCATTAGTGGTGTTACACCTGCCTGGCCTGCACCTTACAGATGGATCTCCTGTGGGCATCAGCCCTGAGCAAATGGATATAACCCTCATGCCCTGTGAGCCAGGACAGGAGCAGCCTCCTGAAGGAATGTGTTTAAAGATGCTGGAATCCAGGTGATGTATGGCATCTTTACAGTGAAAGTTCATAAATGAAGCAACATTTAAATATATTCACAGAACTGACTTCCTTGTCGGTTCCATGGGGACATCACTTAGGAGCCTGGCCACCTTTGATGGAAATGTTCCATGTCAAGTCAGACAATTTATCTCCCAGCTGTGGAGGGCAGGATTCAGAGGTTTAGCTGGTGGGGGGGGTGTCTCCTTTTGGCAAAGCAATATGTCTGGCTGATTCATTTTTTCCATCATTGCAGCTGTATGCAGAGCCCTGAGCTGTTGTATGAAGCTGGAACAAGCATGGTTTTGTGCACCACTGACAGCGCTGAACAACCTGTACCTTTTGGCACTGAGGCTGTGATGGAACCACAAACCTGCTCTGGCTCTCCTGTGCTGCTGCCTGGAGAAGCAGTGGGCAGGGCTGCTGCCAGCTTCTGTCAGGAGAGCTTTGTCCTGTGCTCTTATGAGCCCCTTCCCATTGTGAATTATTGTCTGCCCATGTGGTGGGCCCCTTGCAGCACCGGAGGAGTCTTTGGCTCTGTGTGGACCCCATTTGTAGAAGGTTAGTAAAACTGCACTCAGATTGTTAAGACTTTAAGACCTTAAGACTTTCCAAGCTTCTCTTCCCATTCTTGAAAACACTCTTGCTCACTTAAGTGTCCTGATGAAGGACAGCAAGGCTTGTTTTGAGCTTTGGAGTTCTACTTCTCACTGGTAATTCAGTGAGAAAATCTCTTGATTTAAGGTGTTGAAACAGACTTTCTTACCTATTCTTTTGCCTAAACTGTAACCACTTCCATAAGATAGTGATGGATTCCTTTTAGTATTTCCATTGAGAGAGTTCCTCCAGTTGTTGTCTGCTCACCTTGTCCTTTTGCAAGCTCCTGGGTTTTTAATGCCTGTCATCATTAAGATATTGCCTGAGAAAAGTCGGGGAACTTCTTAACTGTGACATGATGCTTGTCTTCAAGCATGTGTTCTCACTTTCCTCCCTCTTGCTGTTTTTTCTCTCTTCCTCTTTTGTCTTCTTCCTGTCCAGTCGTGTTCAGCATTCCCACCATCTCTTTTCTTTTCCCTGTTCTTCAGAATAGGCTTGATAGAATGCATAAGGGATGTCCACTTGCTTTTGCTGTATGTAGAGCAGGAAGGGCTGTAACTGCCATTCCCCCAGGCCCTGGTGTGTGTGGAGCAAGGACAGAAGGAATAGCTGGGTCAGAGGTGGGGCTGTGTTATCTGTATCTGTACGTGTGTTTAATACGAGCATTTATTTCAGCAGGTATCAGAGCTCCCTTGAGCACAGTCCCTCAAGGTGGCTGTGTTGAAGCCAGTTCAGAAAGAATCATTCAGCAGTCAGATTTACAGGATGAAAGCTTAATCCTTAGAGGAGGACAGCTAGGGACCCTGGAATCTATTCCCCACAGGTAAAGGGAGGGAAAGCACAGGGCTGCCTAAAGCCAGGAATAAAAATGATGCTGTGAGTCCAGCCATGTCTTGATACCCTGTTGAAGAGAGTTGCAGAAATGGTGACACACCTCATTCCCAGGAACTGCTTCTCCTTGTGTCCATTCTTCTTTGCCAGTATTTATATCTGTGCATGGGTACCACAAAGGAGATTTGGAATCAGCCTAATCGAAAAAGATATGACCCCCTGTTTTTAGGCAGGTTCAGTTTCTGGACTATTTGCTTGGTTTTGGCAGAAAAGCATAACCTGTACTGATCCCCAGTGAGGGCTGGTTCTGTGGGCTTGGTTGGTAAGGCCTGTACTTAATCCTAAAATAGTTTCTGTAGCTTCACAACCTCATGACAAGATTATTCCATAGTGCAAGCTTTCCAAATTGGAAGATGGAAAGACAGGCACTGTTCTCTCTTTCTGTTTTCCACCTATAACAAAGGCTTCAGATTTCAGATTTTCTCTGGGAATTGAGAGAAATCCAGAGAATGCAAAACAACAAAAATTCATGCCATTTTCCATATGTTATACAACTTCCATAATGTTACATAAAAATGAACACAATAAACATAGACATTATGGGCTTGCTTTAATTTACTGATCTGCAAGACAGAGCAGGAGCAGAAGCCCCATTTTGTGACCCTTCTGCTTGACACAGCATTTGTGCCAGCATGACACTGTCAGTATGTCAAAAAGGCAGGTAGAAGAAGCTTTATTCCCATTTTGAAAATGAGGAAGAAGAGGCACAGAAGGCTTTGTGGCTTGTTAAAGAACAAGTAAATGAAGTGATTCACTGGAGATAAAGATTGGTGAGACTTTGGCCCCAGTTCCCTGCTGAAAACATTTCTGCCTTTTACCCATTTCCTACTTGGCCTGGTGCCTTGTTCACATTCATGTCAGACTCCTTGCTCTGAATTGCTGGGGAGAACCCAGGCACTGTAAACCTGTTTTAGGTTTGCAATGTTTTAAAACCTATGTTTTAGGATTCAGAGTTTTAAAGAGTGGCTAAAGATCATGAAAGATCAGCAAGCCTTGCTGGCAATATTTTGGCTGGATTTAAAATTGCATGTTCTGACTCTGGAGTGAGCTCAGGTTTATTTTTAAAATATGTTCTGCCAGTAGAAGAAATCTATGGTGAATGTCTCCTTGTTGGGTATGTCAGTGTACCAGGCATCCACACACCCTTTATCATGTTCCTGTGAGGGGCAGGACTTGCTGCTTTGTTGGCACCTTTTGGTGAGGACATAGTTATTTGAACCCTATTTGTAAATCCTCTTTAGTGGCCTGGCCCAGCACCCCCCAAAACCTTGACCTCCTCAAAATTCCATGAATGCTATGGAACATCAGTCTTTTTCAGAAGTGAGTGATACTTAGGCTGCAATTTCAGCAATTTCATTCTGCAGTTTCTCTCTAGGGAGCCAGGAGAGCTCGCGTGGGTAGTCTTGGGCAAGATCACTGCTCAGTCAGTGAGGATCATCTGTGTTAGAAGGCAGAGCCCTCCAACAGAGGCAGGGATTAGAGAAGAGTATTGTTAAAAGAGTCCTCTTGAGCAGTTGTGGTGCAATGAGCATCACTCCTCTGGGAACTCATGGGGGCAACAGATCAAACTGTAAGGCAAATGGGTGTTGCTGTCCTGGAAGCAACACCCATTTGATTATTATCCTGGTTTTAGACATAAGAGTAACACAAAGAGAAAGAAATTATTTAGCCAAGATCACCTATCTGGAATGGACTCAGTGTTATGCTCTTCTTGCTTCCTGAGCACTGGGATAGAGCTACAAGTCAGCCAAAGGACCCTTAATCTGGTTGTCTCATTTTTAAAGATGCTCACCTGGAAAGGACATGGCCTCAAAGCTTATCAGAACAATTCCTGTTGATTTCTTTCATGGGCTTTTTACAGCCACTCCTACACACTTGGGCTGTGTCCAAGACTCTTCTGCTCTACAGGGCTGTGAGGTGGGAGTGTGAGAGGGAACCAGGCTGGAAGCTGACTGTCTCCATCTGCTTCTGCTGCCTGAGAGGAGGGTTTGATCCAGATAGCAGACTGGAAGTCCCTGTGGGACACCAAGCAGATGCTCCCCTTTACAGATAGTGATGGTGTATCCTCTTCACTCTGCAACTTGGGACAGGTGGAACATAGCCCAGCTAATGGTTCTTTTGCAGAGTGGAAATCTCATGCCTTCCATTTCAGAAAGAAAAGCACACTGAGCTCTATGGAGCAAGGCATTCTGTATTTATGAGCCAGCATATTGATTAAGAAAATGTCAGTGCCGAGATGTTCATGGCAGCTTACAGCTTCTGCCTGCATTTCTGGGATTCCAGCTCAGAGTGCTGGGATTCCTCCTAATGTTAGGTCCCCCTCTGGACAACCCAGCATCCTGACACCAGCATGCAGCAGGTCCCAAACCCACCAACAGAGGCTACTTTTTGGCATGTTGCATAACTGAAATGCAGAACTCGTTGCTAAGGGCGCTGTGCATGTCGGTGTAAGTGGGCTGTGAAAAAGCATGAGACAAATTCTTGAGAGGGTGGGAGAGGGAATTGAGCCCATTTGTCATTAGGAAATGTGACTCTGAATGCAGTCTCCAGCAGAGAAGCCCCAAGGCTGGTTGCTGGAACCTGGGGAGCATTCCAAGGAAGGGCGACTTGGCACTTATCCTGTTGGTTCTTTTTTCCTGAACTCTGCTAGTGAGCACCTCTTGTCTGGGCCTCTATGGACACTCACACCTTGGGCAATGCCTGTCGGTGGTACAGGGAGTGTTGTTGCATTAGAGAGACTGTTGAGCTGTGATGATGGGGGAGAACATCCCACTGTCTGCTACTTGACCCAGTGCCCACAGACTGATCTGTTTTGAGAGGCTGGCAGAGCCTCCAGGGGAGTGTGGATGGGGAAGTCGCATCCCCAGATTTCACTGGTGGCCTTGGAAAGCTGTAGCAGAAGTGTAGCCAATGTTGTGTCTATGTCTAAAGCCACATATTTTGACTCTTAAGGTCTCTGCTTTTAAAACATGTTCCAGGAGCGAGACATTTTGGTAGACACCTCTTTGTTTATGGAGAGTGTTTTGGGGCAGAAAGAAAGTTGCATATTGAGATGTGATTCCCTATATGTTGCTCCTGGTCAGGGCAGTCTACCCACTGCAGAATGTGCATTTTCAGACCTTAAGAATTTTGAGAAATGGGGCAGGCAGGTGTATAGACAACAGAATGCTGTCAAATGAATGGTCTTGCCAACAGCCCCTCTTGTCTTGCTGCAAAACATTACAGTAAGTGGCAAATAGAGCATAAATACAAATGCACCTGGATATAATATTTTTTTTTCCAGTTCCTCTCAGACTGTGTTTGGCAAGCCTCAAAGCCCACATGTTTCTGCAGCCTATGTGGAAGAAAGCCAAGCCCTGGGACAAAGCCAGGTAAGAACACACCTAAAGTTCAGAGAAAGGAGCTCCTGTACTCATGATCCCCTGCAGGTCTCTCAGAGAAGATGTGAATTCTCGTATCATATTCAGTATCAAACATGTTTGATCTAAGCATAGCTTCTAAATTATAGTTCAGAGCAAGCTAGGCATTCCCTGGGTACTGTCCAACAGATAGTGGAAGGAAAGGTGGTTTTATTATTTATTTTTTTTTCCCTACTTGAATTGCTTATCAGACCCTAATTTTACTAAATGTGTCATTGAAATGGTGGCCAAAAGATCCTGTGCAGATCCAAAGTGTAATTTAAATTTTCAGTAATGGAGTGCTCACCTATAGAACAATCACACAAAGATGGCTGCTTGAGGTCCTCCCCTCTAAAGTGTTTTGTACAGCTTGATTCTGTTCCCTCAGACCTCTTAAAATGTTTAGTGTAATTTTCATTTGCAAGTCTGTTTTATGGTTGAGGAAAAGGGATTTTGCACTGTTCTGGGATGGCTGATAGCAGTATACAGAGCAGTGTGAGTATTGGCTGAGATAAAGAAGGTAGTTCCATGCTGTGGGTGCAGTCTGTGTGCCTTCTGATGGGGACTTCAAGGCAGTAGAGAATACAAGTTAGGAATCTTGTGCTTTCAAGGGAATGGGAGCACGGCTCTGAATTGTTACCTAAAAACAGGACTCAAGAAAACCTTGTCTAAGCTGTACATTGGTGTATTTTTTGGCTTCATGTGTGTTGGTTGAAGAGTCAGTCAGTGTCCATTGCTGTTTCCCTTGCAGTGTGAGCTGCTGGGGAAAACCTTTTCAAAAGAGATTACAAAAAGCAGCACCCATATCTGCTGGCCTCATTATGAGAAGTGGCTGCAGCTCTGAGGGCAGTAACAGAACCTCTTTTGAGCCTCTGAAAGCATCAATATAAAGATCTGTATCTTGGAAAGTGGCCTTTTTACCAGCCATAATGTAAGCCAGACGAGAAGGAAAGCTTTGGGCATTAATAATGAATGAGCCTTTTCTAAGATTCCCAGAGCAGGTTGTCTCTAGCTAGTCTTCATCTTGCTGTTCTGCATTCTTGCACTGATTTTGCAGTGGTGAAGAAACATGACACTCAGTACACTATGGGCTGGGGAGCAAGAATACTGAATGATGCTTGTAGATGTCAAACGGGACATCTTCAAATCTTTGTAATAATTACTCAGTTCAGGAATTCAGAAAAGCAATTTTGCATATTTTAGTGTGTGCCTTAGGAAAAGGAAGAGTTTGAATGGGTAAATGATTTTACAGCATTTCTACAGACTTCCTGGGCACTTTGCTTCTTGCTGAATCAACTTACTCTCGGCTTGTGGCAAGAATATGCAGATATTTGGTTCCTATGTCTGAATCACAGAGGTGCAGATGAGAACTTTGTTTTGTGCACACAACTCAATTTGCTTTTTGTTGATCATGCATCCTGTTAGAACCAAAATGAGAATAAAATGAAAGCAATTTATTAATTTTGGGGATATTTCTTTCTCTCCCTGAGCAGAACTCCCTTGCTCAGGACATAATTTCCTTAATTTTTAATTCCTGTCTTACCCTCTGTTAGTTGCTGGCTTTTATAGGAGCCAAAGCCTAGGGCAGAGGGAAGGGAATGGCTCTGCTCTGAATTCCTGGGAGATGGATTGTGCATGGATTGTGCTCATCACTTCCACACACCCACTGATGGATTACTCCACCTGAACTTGGAGGGGAGGAAGGCCTTTGTCACTTCATGCACACAGCCCTGACCAGTGACATTTCCTCCCATCACACACTTTGTGCTGCTGTCTGCCCAAAGGAGCTCTTCCACCACAAGCAACTGTGTTAAAAACCATATCTAGTGAGGCTTTGCTACCTTCCTGTGTCTTTCAGGTCCTGGAGGATCCAGCTGTTGACTCACTAGAACTGTTCCAGGCAGCATGCCTGCTCTATGAAATTTCTAGCAGTAAAAACCGTGAACCGATGTGACCTGCCTGCAGATACAATCCATGTGTCTGTGCTTCCCTGGGAAACACCTCATTCCTTCCTTTTTTTTTTAAAGGAAGAGGAGTTTAACAAGGAGATTGGATAGTGTGAGGGAGAAGGATGGAGGTGTTTCCAATGGTTACAAAAGTTGGTTTGGTTACAGTTTTATTAAGAATTTTGCAAAGGATAGAAGAAAGCAAAGGTGCACTGTGGACTGTAGGTTTTTGCTGGAGTGGTCTGAAGCTGCACTGTAGATGTTAAAATTATCAAGGCACTGGTTCTGATCTGATCATGGCACTGGTAGATCTGACCATGGCACTGGCCAGATCCGAGTCCTTGGTTGCATCGTGAAGGTAAATGAAGCTCCTGTGCTCAAAGGAGTAAAATTTGGTTATATTGCCTTGCAGTGGATATTGGGACAACCTTTTCTCAGGCTTGGAAAATAATGTCTCATGGTAAAATATTTCTTTTCCTTGCCTTCCTGTTGTACTGCAGGGTGTAACTTCTGGAGTGTTCCATACTCTGTAGTGCCACAGGTGACACAAACGAGCACAGCAGAATTTTCAGTGCTAGGGCATGCCATTGTTTTGCTGTTTAATACAATAAGTAGCAAGACAGGCCCTTCATGCAGCTTTAAAACTAATCCTGCAAGTTAGGGTGGGTTTTTGGGTTTTTTCCTGAAGTGTTACTGTTTTTAAAAAATTCTGTATATTGCAAAATGGGTCCCCTTTGCCAAATCTCCAGCCTGGAGATACAGGGAGAAGATGCCTCCTTTACCTTTTGTTACGAAGTTCTCGAATAAAGATTTTCACTTACTGTTTCTCCAGGGTTCATTTTTTTCAAGGTAAGGGTGAGAAGTGATAATTTTCACATGGTAATTATGTATTAAAAACGCAGGACCAGCTGCCCTGGGAACACTTGTGTGTGCTGAGAGCCTGAAGCCTCCACTATTTTGGCGGATCTCAGTAAGAAATGCCCCTTTCTTGTTTGTGTTGGGAACAGCGGTGCTTGGCGGGGTAACACACGTTATCGTTTATTGCCGTCAAGAGCGGGGCCGTCAGTGAATCCGGGCATTCGCACAGGGAGCAAAGATGCCGGGCTCGTAGGACCCGCACGACCACCCGTGAGGTGAGGGACGAGCCCGCCCTGCCCTCACAGCCGCGGCCACCGCCCGCCCGCTCTCCTCCGCTCGGGGCTGTTCCCGCCGCCCGCCGCCGCCGCCTCCCCATTGGTCCGCGGCCGCCAGCAACAGCGCCAGATATATCCTGCCGCGCCCTGATTGGCTGCCGCCTCCCGCCGAGCCATAGCAACAGCGGGGCGCGAGGGCCGGAGGGGGGCTGAGGCTGAGGGAGCGGCGGGACCCTGAGGGGCGGTGGATACACGGGGGCCGCCGCCACGGCCACGCCCCGTGAAAATCCATTCACGCCCGGTGAAAACCCGTTCTCCGGGCGCTGTCACCATCGTTTCTGCGGCCCGCGGTGGAAAGGAGACGGGACACGGTCAGGAGCCAGCCAGCGACCCGGCTCCATGCAGAGGCAGCAGCCCCATAGCAAAATTCCCACTGGATCTTGCTGGGCTGCTGTCTGAGATCCCAAATAAGGTACTTTAGTTTTCATCCCTGCTGATATGACATGTCACTACAATGACTGTGATTTAGCCAGCCCAGTGGTACATGATACATGTGGATGAAAGCCAGGGAGGTTACACTTCCCTGCTGTTGAAGATGTATTGGAGCAAAGAGGGATGACGCCTCTCTTACAATGAGATGTATTTTCAGTTCCTTTCAAATACTTCGTTCTGTTTCCTGTCAGAGGAGATAAGATTAGATTAACATTGCCTGTATAGAAATTTTAGATAACTGTCATTCTATATAGCTTCTTTGCTAAGAAGGCAACCCATGCTAGGGAATGCAGGTATTTTGGCTTGGCATAAAAGTGACATTTGTTCTACCACTTTAACAACACCAGTGTCTGAAGACCTTGTAAGTTTTTAAAATAGTTCAAGAACAGTTGTTTTGAGTTTTTAGTTAAAAAGAAGAGGCTCAATTCAGCAAAATTCCTCAGGAGTGCTAGAACAACAAGTTTCTTTTCCAAAATTAAATTTGCAAAAGGATTTTCAGCTAAAGCAGAATTAAAGCCTTTTCTCTTATACTTAATGAATTTAATTTCTGAATTTGGTACAGTTGTTCTCTGGAGGACAACTGAATTTTCTAGGTCGTTTCCCAGGTGAAATAACTTATTACTTTTCTGTAAATTTATGTTAGACAATTCAAAGTTTGATATGTAAAATCAAGCAAATTAGAAGTATTTCCCTTTAAGAGATGTAAAGTCAAGTGGTTGAAGTACAGTGTATTTTGGCCCACTATAGCCCCATGTCACTGGGATATTGAAAGTGCACAAAGCACTTTTGAGGAGCTAATTGCATTTGGACAGAAATTTGCAAGCAGTGCCTACATACAATCTCACAGGCCTTGGCCATGCTGGGTTAGAGGGGCTGGGCAGGATTCAAGGGAGGGATGCTGCTTCCCCATCCATGAGCCAAAAGAGACCTGGTGACTGGCCATGCAGGAGGGGAAGAGAACAAGTGAATCTCTGCTGAATACACCTCTTGACCTTCTCTACTTGTACTGCTGGCTGGAGTTAGTCTTCCAGGGAGAGCCTAGTGGAGTTCTTTCCATTGTATTCACATTGGGGTAGCAACTTGTTCAATTTGTGTCTTACCTCATTCTGGTTTCTTAGATGTGATTCGTGTCCCCATCATGTTCTTCTATCTCTATCCTACCATCTGTAGCAAGCTCTGGGTGTGTTTATGTTGTTCTTCCTTGGAGCTGTACTTGGAAGCATGCTGAGCATGTGGCTGACCTGCCCTGAGCTGAATGTGCAGTACCTGCTGTTGTCATTCCTCCTCCACATGGCATGGCCTAGCAAAGGAAGGAGTTTGCCCTAGATAGAAAAAAAAAACGTTATTTTTATCTTAAAATGCCTATAAGAGCCCAAAGTACAGATCCTGTATGTATTCATTGGTCACAGAAAGGGGATAGAAATCTAGGAGCACTTTCAGAAGTTCTGTTACTTGGCTCTTCCTGAACTGAGAGAGACGCTTTCCCGATAGGCAGCATCCATGTTTTCCAGCACTGCTGCTAGAGGTGGCTTTACTCTGGGCAGTTCAGCAGACGTCCCTGAACCTGGCAAGGCCAGAGGCTGGTTCTGCCCTGGAAGTGTGCTGTGGGAATGGCTGTGTAGAGGTCCTGCACAGCAGCTGACATAAAAACTTCCCTGAACTAATCCATAACTAATAACTAATGTCATTGCTACAGGGGATGGAGGATGTGAGTAGCAGCTTTTCCTGCTTGCAGTCCCTTTGGCAGTTCCGCTTGCTGTCACGGTCACTGGTGCATCCAGCGTCCACTCAGGACAAATGCTGGGACACACAGCTTCAAGGCAGTATTTTCAGGCAGTCTCTCATTCTGGATGCCTGGCTCACCTTTCTCCTGGCCTCATTTTTAGAGGAAATGAGCATTTTACGCTAGGACACCCAAAATAACAGGCCACTTTTGAAAATGTCGGCAAAGGCATTTTGTTTTATCTCTGCACTTCATTAGTCTTATCCCCAAAGTCTTTCATGTTATGTTCTACAGTGAAAGGTCATTGTTTCAGATCAATCATTTTCAGTGGGATTTAATCCAGTTCGAAGTCAAACTAATCCACTTTGGTAAAGGTTGAAGGGCAGTAAAAATTCATTTGTTAAGACAGATCTGGTCTTATTTTTCAAATGTGGCTGTTGATGCTGAGTCCTTGATTGTGTATGCTCAGCATGAGGTGTCTTTCGGAGAGGTTGCAGAAGTCCTAGGATTGAGTTATTTTGTATTCATACTGGTTTTTTACTTCTAGTATTTTCTTAACACAGGCTGTTTCTTTTTCCTCTTACCTGTAGAGCCTCTTTTCAAAATGGTGGTCTGGTGGCAGCTGCTGCTAAGCAGGCTTGATCATGTTTTCCTGTTGAATCCTGGTTACTTTCCCCTCATGACATAAAGAGTAAAACTTCATTCTTCTATCTGGGCAGGACTAGCAAATACCGTAGTCTTGAGTAGCTCATGAGGAGTTAAAGCTGCTCTCAATTAGCTACTGTGTTCTCGCCACTTAAAGGAACCCCCACAACTGAGCATGCTTGACAACCCCCTGTGCATATCCCTGAATCATTCTGGCAAGGAAAAACTGCCATCATCTTTTATTCAGACATAGTGCTGTTTCCTCACTGGATTCTGAAATGAGCAGGTGCTGGAAGATAGCACATTTTGCCAGGGAGTTCTGAGGGTTTATCAGCTTGTGTCTGCAAAAGGCTATTATGTGTGAATGCTGAATGGTATTAAATACACTGCAGTGATCCCAAATAGGCTTTGGGGTACAGACCTACCCTTTCCATGAGGGAGCGAGAGCTTTGCAGCTTTTGTGCAGTCAGTACCCTTCTGTTTTAAAGTTCTTCCCATGTAGGTTCATAGATCCACAATGTACTTCACCACAATGCATGGCATGAACCCTGTTGCTGCTGCTGAGCAGCACTCAGGCAGTGTCATCTTTCTTCATTCTAGGATTTACCCTTGAGTTATGAGGGAGGTTCTGTGAGAGTGATTCAAGATTAATATGAAATTGAAATATGACAAAGAGTAGAATATTTTCACACACTGTGACAGCCTAGAGGCTTGTTAAACTGTGGTGTATGGTTTGGCTAGAAATATGTCACTGAAATTACAGTCCCTTGTGGTTTGGGAGAGAATCATCACACCACAGCTACACCCACTGCTATCTCATGCTCTGATCTTGTCGTTGGTTACACCACCTATCCTCCTGATGCACACTTATCTCACTTTACTGGGGAAATGTGCTGCTAGAATTCTAACAATAAAAATTACAGATAGTCCTAAGCCTCTGGAAGAATCTGTCCTTACAGCACTATCTGAGCATCATGCCCCGTGTAAAGGCCAGTCACAAGTATTTCCAAAATCA